CAGAGATGAATACCAGTAAGTTCCTCAAAGGGAGCAAACAAAGGTTTGTTGTATAGGTTTGAACACTTGGAATTGTGTGATGGTGGCTGACTCGCAATTTCCTCCTAGAATTGAAAAGGCTCATCCAGCCTTGAGAAGTTCACTTAGCATGTTTCAAAATGTTTGCTATTTTTATTAGCAGTCATATTCAATGGTGTTAACCTAAGTGATCAGATAGTGTTTGTTTTTAATAGAATTGAACATGGCTCTGTGGTTGGGTTCATCCAAGACTCATGATGGTTGCATCGAATTCACCAGTTTTAATTCAGATGAAGTTCTTGCAGCAGTCCTGGTTGGCTGCCAGTTTAAAAAAAGAGCACATCCAAAGTTTTTTGGTTCTTGAGGTGCTTTCAAGGTGAGGTGGCCAGTGCAGTGTAACTAAAAGAATATCTATTTCCTTACACCTTGAAATCATAGGACACGTTTGAGGCTCTGAACATAGACGATATTTTTGCCTGAGCAGTTACTTTTTTATTGCTAAAATGAAAAACTAACAACCCAAAACTCTAGGAATCTTTATTTAGAGAACGATGCTTTTGTAAAAAGCTTTGTTGCCAATGTTCATGGCCTTTTGCTGTGCAGAAGTCTGGATGTAAAGTGCAGACAAGAGAACTTGTCTGTGATGTTTTTTGTGCAAAGTACTTTTTAAAGAACACTTAAGAGTTCCTTTACTGGCTCCTGCAGTTCAAATCTTGTTTTGTTCTTTGGTAGGTTGTTTTACCGATGCCTTAAAAGTAAATTGAATGGGAAGAAATGGTGCGGAAGCGTCCCATGGCAGGTATGAATATTTCATTTGTATTATAGTATCAGCTTATTCCTGCATGACTTTTCATTCCGTACACTGTAATCACGTCTGAGACTACATAGTGGGAGAGTTTGTATTCTCTAGCTGAAAAGCATGTCAGCCTGCTGTCTTCCAGATGAGACTTCTCTTACTCCTAAATTGTGTGAAGTAATCACTGTTCTCCAGTCTTAAAAGAAACTTGGGTTTGATCTCTGGCTGTCCTCTTTTCTTGAGGATGATGCTGTTGGGACTTGATTCCCCAAAAAACATGGGAATGGCAAAGAAAGCAGAAAACCAGCAGTTTTGTTTTGTTTTCCTTGTAAAATGTTTATCTTGATCCTGTTAAAATGATAGGAAAGATGATGTTTGTACAGAGTGAAGTCTTCCTTGAGACGATCGGGTTGTGTGTATAGTTAGCGGACTTTAATAATTTGTACATTAGCATTTACTCACTTGTATATATTGCAGGATCCAAAAGCTACCACAGCATCAAAAGCCTTAGAATCCCAGCCCAACACAGCACCTCTGTTGAATCCCAGCAGCCAAAGAAATCCATTCAAAGTGATAGACAAGAATTGTGAACCATCATACTGGAAACAGAGTAAGCAAGGAAACAGAGAGGAAAGTAAAGCAAAAGGAGTAAAAGCAGAGAAAGAGAGCATGCTGGTGTCACATAAAGAAAAGAAATCCACCTCTGATTCCTCCATAGAGAAGGAACCTCTAGAATGGCTGAAAACTGAAAAGAAGCAGTCCACAAGAAATAGGAATGATCAAGAAGTTAAGGAAAGCACAGTGTCTGAATCTAAACTTGTTCTTTCTGAGACTTGGAAAGGGGAAAACACACATTGGGAGGAAGTGAAATGTGGTGCCAGTGGCAGGGAATCCAAGAAGTCTTCTGAGTGTGTGGAGAAAGAGCCAAGTGGGAGATCAAAGCTCTTTCCACTAAGTCTTGGAAAGCAAAGTACGAGTACCAAGCCTCCAGAGGAGGAGCAGCTTGGAGAGAAAAGCTTAAAAAGCTGTGGGGATGAAGAAACCAGAGAGAAAGAATATGTTGGTGGGAAGAATGGAGAGGCGAAACTGATGTGTAAAGAAGATGTGATTTCCCCAGCAATATCACAGTTGGCATTGCAACATGCTGCCCTGAAGGGAGGAGCAGAGGCAGCACCACCCATGACACAAATCAGGCCAGGGCTGGGACAACCTGCTGATGAAGTCTCTGGCAGTGACAGTGATGAAGTAGGATTTGTTTATTCCTCATCAGATAAAAGTAAACCTGAGAAATCAGTTGAGGGTTTGCAGTCAAGAGAGATTCCTTCAGGAAAATCAGGAAAGAGTACGCAGGGGACATCTTTGCCAGGAGCTGCAGCATCACATCATGTGGAAGGACCCCAAGACCCTAAAGCTCTTCACAACCACCTTGTAGTCCAGCTGAAGCAGAAGAAGGTAATTTATTGCACCTATTATTCCTTTTTTTTTTTTTTTTTTTTGGTTCTGTGTTCAGGGTAACTTCCCTTACTCGTGACAGGCATCAGAGTGCGGTAAACCCTCACAGCAGAAACTCAAAATATTTGGATAATTTAGGAAGACAGGGCAAAGGAGGGGATTCAGCCTAGGCAGAGGCTAGTTGTTTTAAGCCACGTATGAGACGGTTTCCCCTAAGGTAATACAACCTTCTCCATTTGGGGGTGCTCAGTTTTGACCTTCCTGAGGTTGTGTCTGTCTTTTACCCAGAAAGTAATTTGCATAAGATGGAACAGTGCACAGCCAGCTTAACCTTTTTAAATAACATGGCTGTTTCTGGTGGTCTCTCTTGGCCTTGTGGAGTAAAAGTGATCTAGCCGTGAAAGCTCACACTAAGAAGAAAAAAACTACCTGTCTATTTGCCTTTTTTAATAATTGCCAATAACATGTTCCATAGTTTTTTATTATAAAACCCCTGTTTGCTTAGAGCTCAGAACAGAACCTCAAAATAAACAGTCAGAACTGTTGTTCCTGCTGGTATAGAAAGAAACGTGCAAGTAGGTTAAACATTGGGTGCTTTGAGAGATGTTAAGATTGTCCAAGTCACTTGACTACCTGTTTGCCCTGTTTCATAAAAAGGGGGAGGCCCTGCATCTTTCCATCTCTTCTAAAGTGTGCTAATGATTAGTCTATTTTCTGCTGTAAGACTATTTAATCACCCTGGATGGCACTTAAATGCTTTTGGAGATTGTAGAACAGTATCAAAATACAAATTACTATGTCATAAGATTAGTGTTTTTAAACTTCTGACCTGACTGCTCTCTGTTGGCAGAGCTTGGTAGGCACACTCAGGTTTTGGATTCTTTTTTATTTTGCAGAGTACATTAGCCACAGTGAACATTCAGCTGCTGCCAGACAAAGGGGAACGGTTATTAAAGCAAGTGCAGGATTTGGAAGCTGCACTTGATGCTCTTAACATTTCGACAGCAGATACTACTGAAAAAGGTAGGACTAAATTTTTTTGCCACAGGACTTAGCAAAACACTTTGTGTTATGGTACTTGTTAATACTGAGGAAAAATAGCATAAACTTATATATGGCATGTGGTCTATATAAAGTTTGTCTGTTGAGATTCACTGAAGATGAAAAGTTAGTTGCAAAGCGTGTGTCTGGGAGAGGATGAATGGAACAACTCAAATGTTTCCTCTGAAGGGTGGTGGCTTCCCAAGAGAGTTTCCTCTTGGGACCCAGGGCTGGTTCTGTTTCCAATGTTGGCTACATGATTGAGGCCGGTGTCTTTCTGAGAACTTGCCAGTGAAGTGTTAACTTCCTCTGTGTTGCAGTATGGAACCATGCTGCTTATGCATGTTTTGGCTGCTGTCTGAATGTTTCAGTGACCAGATCCAAGATAAGCAGCTTCCAGTGTGCCATTCCTGTAAAGTGATTTCCTAATTCTATTAACTAGTATTAATCACCTGTGGAAGAGAGGCATTTTGTTGAGTTACTTGCATGATCACCTCAACAGGAGAGTTATTTCATGATCATAGTATCAATTGTGTTGATGAAAAGATCAAGTTTGACAACTCTGGAAACTGAAGATCTGTAGCAAGGAAGCAGTAACTCACAGGCCACCACACAACAATGTCTTATACCATATCTGGTTTTAAGCAAGACAGACTTTTCCAGGAAGGAGAGAAAAGCTCAGGAGTTCTTGGCCCATTCATTCTTGGACGTTTTGATAGTTTTTGTGACTAAAACATTGACAAGTCACATTGACATGTGACTAAAACATGTGACTAAAACAAGACAACATAACATCTCCAGTGTGCAGAATTGACCTTGTGTTTGCACTGATCTGATCACAGTTGCAAAGTTCACTGAGGCGTGAGCTGAACTGTGTTGCCTGTCACGTAGGAGCAGGTTAAGAGTGTGCGTGTTAGTAGTTGCAGTGGCTCAGGTGGCCAGGTAGCCTGCTACCTGGCTGTTAAATCTGTGTGACCACTTAATAACATTTTGCAAGCAGACTGTTGGGCAAAACAAAGGCCCTTCTCTGGGCTTTAACGCAAGGCTCTGAGGTCTGTTGTGCAACCCTTTCAACCTGTGATTCGTTTCTTCTTAAGGGGAGGATAGCATAAGCAGTGGCTGCTGTGAGGAATCTTTGCCCCACCCATCTGGCAGGCCAGGTGGTACAAAGTTGATAACAGCACTACCACTCCAGGATCCTACAGCAAGGACCTCTTCAGGCTCACACAGTCACCTCTCTGCTGCTACTACTTTGGGTTCCAGTGAATATTATGGCCACAGTTTTGGAAGTAAGTACAGAAAGACTTTTCTTCATTAAAGAGAACACTGGTGAGAACTATTTCTGAAATAATCCTGCAACTGGTGGATATACATGAGAGTACTAAACCTTTTTTGTTACTGTGAGCTGCATACTGCCCCCCCAGGCATCTGTAGCCACTGAGACCAATCTCCGAGATGAAAGATCTGCTTGGGAAAGTTAGCTTTGTAAACACATCTCATGCATAATACTGTATCTTTCCAGTGACCTCTGGTTTGCAGAATCTATATGGAGGAAGAATGACAGAAGAACGAATCAGGGCTGTACACAGTGCCACAAGTGAGGCTATTAATGATCTTCACAAATCTCTAGAATCCTGTCCGACAGAGCAGACAGTAGCTGAAGATCCCTCTGGATTGAAGGTGAGTTGGCAAGGATGGAGGATGTCATGCTGATGAACTTAGAGGTTTCTTGTTACCTCCATCATGAAGTGTAATGTCTGAGTGATACCCTAGAGCATCCTGTCCTTTTACACTTTGAGGTACTTTGCCGTTTTCATCCTGCTGGAAGGAGACACTCTAATTACTTTCCATCTGTTTCAATCTGAGAGTTGCTTCAGATTGCCAATACTGATGTTCTACCCTCTTGCTGTGGTGTCTTCAGAATATTTAGTGCTTGAATGAAGCAGTAGTGCCTCAGACAAAGCAACCAACCCACAACCATTTGTTCGTACATGACTGGCAGAGCAGAAACAGGTCTCTAGTGAGGAACAGACTGAGAACCTTCTTGTTGTTCTTTTCTCCCAGTTAGGTCTCCCAGTGAGCTATAAGTAGTAGTCTTTTAAAAGTGTTGCAGGTGATTGAGTTTGTGCAACCCAATGGACTCCAGAGTAGTCCATTCTGATCTGCCAAAGAACAGCTCTTTATGGGTTCTGCACCACCCAATAGATAGTTGAGGTTACATGCAAGGTATTGGAAAGCACATGCCTCTATGAGATGGTGCGTTGATGTGTGTATATATATGTTGTGTCACTTGTCAGATCCTCTTGGGACCTTTTCAGTGCTGGGGAAGGCCAGTTCATGTCTTATGATGACACTATGTAGTCCCTCTTCCTGTCTTTAAAAGAGTCCGTAGGGGTTTTAGACTTGGTGAGAAAATGGGAAGTGTCTCAGTCCCCTCCTTGACAGTGATGCCTGTTGTGAGCAAGGTAGGCTTGGATGGATTTTCCACCGGAACGAGCTGCCTTTGCATGCCCTCAGAGCGTTGTGAGGTGCTAGGTTGGTTTACACATAAAGCGTTAGCAAGACATCTATGGTACTGCTGACCTGTCTGCAGGAGTTGCTTATCTTGGGTATCCCTGTCCATGTGGCAGAAGAACAGGTAGGCAAACTCCTTTTAGTAAGATTATAGTAGGACAATTCAACTGGATAATTTGGTACAGATGCAGAAGTGTCTGAACTTTGCAAGTTTCCTTCAAATCCTCTGTCTCGCCCTCTCAGGTTCCACTGCTGCTGCACCAAAAACAGGCACTCGCATGGCTACTCTGGAGAGAGAGTCAGAAGCCGTGTGGAGGAATTCTAGGTAAGCAACAGAACAGAAAAGTAGATTTTGGGGGCAGATTTATGGCAGTAACAGTTTGGTACATAACTTACTCGGAGGCATGTTGAAGGGGCTTGTTTTTCTGTGCCCTTTGACCAATTACAGCTATTAGCCCATTACTAAATCATACCCTGAAATCGTCATATGTGTATTTTTATTTCCAGGGTTCCCCAGGGCAATTTCTGTTGCAGTATTTACCTCAGTGTAGATCTGAGCTAGGGGGGGCTCATTTCTGCACATCGTCGTAACTTCCTGTGTGTCTTTTTCCAGCGGATGACATGGGCTTGGGGAAGACTCTAACGATGATTGCTCTCATTCTGGCCCAGAAGCAGCTGAAGACAGAGAAAAGAAAGGAGAAGTTAGAAATATGGCTATCCAAAAATGGTACAGAATTGCTTCCATCATACAGTACATATGTTGTCATGCAGTGCCATTTAAAATACCTAAAGCATTTTAGGTTAATGGCTCATAAAACAACAGGCTCTATCTGTGCTCACTTCCCTTCTGTAGGAAAGTTCCGTTGGGCTTAATGTTTACTACACTCCATTGCAATGACTTTCTCTTGATCGGTGTCGTTTGTTCTTCCATTGGATGCATAGGATTTCCCAACTCATTACTTCATATTGTTTTGGGATTTCTTTTTTTTTATTGATCAGTTTCCTGAACCAGTTACAGCCAGCATAAGCTGTTTTGAAAAAAGTTTCATAGTTTTTTTTCAACATATGCAAACATATGCATAGTTTTTGTAGCATAAGGACTTAAATTCGTTACTACACACCTCCCTGTGACTGATTTTTTTTGTTTTGTCCCCATCCCCCCCCCCCCCCCCCGCTATCTTGTCCATAGAGATAAGGGATATTACAGTTTCTAAAAAGTATTGGGTTTGTGTCTACAACATGTTACTGTCTCCATCCTCATGGAACTGGTTGAACTACTTTTATCTGTCTTGCCAAGTTTACTGACTGTGTGTTTATTTTCCTGTGTGGTTCAAAATGGTAGCATTTCAGTCTTCTAGAACAGGAAAGAAGAATTTATTTGGTACTGTATTCTCAGGAGAGATCAGGGTTAGTTCCTGAATTCTAACCTTTGAGCTTATCCAAAGGAAGTGCACAGATATATAGCATAACTCTGAGGAGACAGGAAGTGATGCATTAGTGTTTCAGCAGAGGGGTTTTTTCCGTCCAGGACTAACAGTCTCCAAGAATGCAACGTAGAGATGTCCACTTCACAAACTGTGCTCGCAGGAAAAGTGGACCAATCTTCTTAATTGTTGTGAATTTCCAAAACTTTGTTGTAGGCTAATGTGAAGACATTGAAACCTGTCTCCAATATTTCCCTGCAGATTCCACTGTTATCCCTTCCTGCAGCACTTTAATCATTTGTCCTGCATCCTTGATCCATCACTGGAAGAAAGAGATTGACAGACGCGTGGGCTGTGGCAAACTGAGGGTCTATTTGTACCATGGGCCAAACCGAGATAAACATGCAGAGGTGTAAGTACTAAATGTGCTAAATATGACCAAGAAAAGTAAAATACTACTTAGCAAGAGATTCTGTATATCAGAGTTGAAATTCAGTGGCTGTAGAATGATGGAAGAACCTCAAGTATGGAAATGTGGAGGATCCAGAAGGTCAGTCTAATGTCTGCTGTCAAGATGCATATAGCAAAACTCTTATGGCCTGCACCCATGCTGAGTGGTTCTGGTGCAGGCTATTGCTGTTCCTGACAACAAAAAAAAGCTGTATATTCTCTAAAACATCTCCTGCTTGCAGAGATTGTCAGTGGCAGTTCTTCCATGCTTGTGCTTTGTGGTTGTATTTTTTTTTCTTTTTTTATCAGCTGTACATATAGATCAGAAAATGTTCTACACCACTTTAGGCCATGCTGAGCAGTATTTCTAGGTGCCAGACTCTAAGCAGGGTTCATCTCATGTGGTGTGCATTCTGTACTACTGGCTTTTACCCTCTTCTTGAGCTTCCTGTGTCTACTTCCAGTGTCCATGAAATGGGGACGGTATGTCCTTCCTGTTTGACTGGTACGAAGCTCAGTTTTCTGTAAAACTCTGTATTTCAGCTCTTGTAGAACTGTGTTGTTCTTAAACCTTCAGCATGCATTTTGTATCTTGCAAAATGAATTCCTCATTTATTCTTGCTCCTGATTACTGCTTTCCCTTTATGCAGGCTCTCTGAATATGATGTTGTTGTCACAACCTACAGCCTTGTCTCCAAGGAGGTTCCCGCAAGCAAAGAGGAGGGGGAAGTCCCTGCTGAGGACCATGATGTGGAGGTGAGAAGCCATATTGTGGATAGAAGATTGCCTTAATGTTTCGTTCTGAGGTGTTGCAAGCCATTATTGTTTCAAGTAGCACCTCATGTGTGCTACAGTGAGCAGGGGGTTGAATTTTATTTTTTCCCCATAAGTCCCCTGTTGAGTTTGCACAATAAAAATAAAGTGATGAGAGAAAGTACTGTGAAGTGCAGAAAGACAATAGGGAAAAATACTCACAATAAACCTGTTCTGTAGTAATATAGAATACGCTATGTTGAATACAGTTGAAATGTCTTAAAAAGAAATTTTTAAGAGTGCAATGATGAATCTCATACTCCTCCATTTGAGGTGAGACTGTGAAGGAACACTAGAATCTCCTGTTTGGTGTTCTTTGCTGCTTGAAGCACCAACGTCACTTTAAACTACCAGAAACCTGTCGTGCTCAAGCTCTGGGTCAGTCTGAACTGAGACTGAGGCAGCTTACATGCTGCACTCCTGAAGAAACAGCAGCATATTTGCTAGGCTATGAAAATAATAAAGTGGTTGCTGATTGCTAACTGAACGTGGCTACACGCTATAGAGGAAGTCCCTTGCTGGTGGATATTGTTGTCTCCTACCTCTGTGTACAGATCTAGATGTAGCTCTTAAAGCAAACAGGCCTTTGAATTTCCTGAAACTTCAAGGTGGCATCTATAAAACTGTAGAGAGATCAGAATAATTATATGTGGTCCTTGGTCCCAGCCTAGCAAATTTTACTGATATGAAATGCCTCTTGGGAAGAAAGAGGCCATAAAATGTTAAAAGCAAGAAAAACGGCAAAAGATTAGAAATTGTTATTAAGAACAAGCAAATATGTTATATTCTTCGGCTTATACACTTTCATGGAAGCTTTGAAGAGGGGATTTTTTTGAGAGCGTCTCTTACATGACAGTAAGAGCTCAGATTACTGCCAACTAACATGAGGAAAAGGCTTCTTGCTGGAAAAATATGTTTGCTCGTGGCTCTTTAGAGAGCCTAGCTAGGTTATTGCTCTGGGTTATAAATAGTCTGCTTTTTCTTTCAGAGTGGGTCATCTCCCTGTTCCCCTCTGCTCAGGGTAGCTTGGGCTCGAGTTATATTGGATGAAGCTCACAATATTAAAAACCCAAAGGTTCAAACCTCTATAGCTGTGTGCAAACTGAGAGCCAGTGCCAGATGGGCCGTCACTGGGACGCCGATACAGAACAACTTACTAGACATGTACTCTCTCCTGAGGTGAGCTGGCTGCATGTGAACACGTGGATAGGGCTCCAATTCCAGTAGTACTTCACTGATGAAGTGATGAAGTTGTTTAAGTTTGAGAGGTTTCTAAGGTATGTGGGTAGCGAGACTAGTTATATTAACACTTCAGGCACTGGATTGCAAAGGCTGTGGCTGAGGCATTGTGCAAGGCTGACCATGTGTCTGTCTACTGTTGTATGTAGCCATTCTGCTTCTGTAGATGAGAAGTTACTTCACCTTGGAGACATAGGAGATCCGAATATCCACAAAGCCAATTTTAATGAACAGAAGTTTTGTGCGGTAATCTTTGTTCCTACCAAGGCAGCCTGGGAGGACCTTATTAAACGGTGTTGTGCTACAAGGGCATCAAAGGAAAGGGTGAACGCTTCAGCTTCTCTAAATAAATGATGAACAGGTTAAACTCTGTGCTCCTCATTGCTGAGGGGGGAAAGATTATGAAGGGTGTTGGAGAACCAGAGAGAACTTGTGTTTGAAATTAATTTTGGATAGTTGAAATTAATTTTTAAGTAAGAGGTATGGGATTTTGAAATAACAAGTGAATACACTTTTTAGCAAGTGCCTCTGCATCTTGGTGTCCTTCGTTTGCTGGCGGTGGCTTGAGACATAATGAGCTAAGAGGAAGTGATGGGTACAGAATCAGAAAGAGGCTTTCACAGTGTTAGTGATGGTAAGACTTTCGAGCAAACAAGTTATCAACACCATTCCACTGGAAGTGTTTGATCACTTCTAGCAGTTACGGCATTTGGAAATGGTTTGTTTTGGATAGTAAGGAATTTGGCTCTGGTCACTCAAGAGTAACTGAAGAACTCTTCTTCCCTTGGTATGAAGTCTCCTTCCTTCCTGTCATAGGTTTCTACGTTGCTCTCCTTTTGATGAATACAAAGTGTGGAAGTACCAGGTAGATAACAACACAAAGAAGGGAGGAGAGAGGCTAAGCCTCTTAACCAGGAGCCTCTTATTACGGAGAACTAAGGACCAGCTTGATTCAGCTGGCAAGCCCTTGGTAAGAACTTCACCCTCCACAAATAGACAATCATTCCATTGTTTTCCTTGCAGCAGGCAGTTAGTTATTTACATGCATAAATTTGTTAATGGGTGGGTTTTCCTGTTTACTGCAGTCTCCTGAGGAAGAGGAGTGAATGCCTGTGGGATGCTTTGATTGCTTATCCAGAAAGCAGAAATACACAGCATAATTAAACCTTTTAGTTATAAATCGCATGCAGACAAGAATATGTCAAGTAATTGCAAGCAGGTGTCCACTTAGTGGAGAGTTAGCCTAGGTCTCTGAGCTAGCCCAGATCTCTGAGAATCAAAGCTGCTGCATGTCAGATGGATCTGGTGCATGCTGGGGCATTGGCTTTCTACGTTACTCTTTACCAATAAGTTGTTAAACTGAGTATTAGGTCATTGGTGTGTCTGTAAGACTTTAAAATGTGTAGTTTTGGTGTACTGTCTGATTCTGAATGGGGAACTAAGAAGCTACTTTTATAATGCAGTAAATCAATCCCTCCATGGTAGTTATGCGGCAGTCCATACTTAGTTGCTCATGCCTTTTGTTATCGGATGATTTGGAATAAAGATTTTTATCTTCAGCATTAACCAGGCTACTTGGAGTTCTGTGAGTATCTATGTTGTGTCATAGTTGCATTAATACAAATAACTTTAATGAAGAAACAGCTATCTTCTGAGACTTAGAATACTGCGTTGAATCTTGGAATGCTGGTGTTTGTGGTGCTTCACAAGATTTTTGCACTATATACATCTGATCCTGTGTATTTTTACTTCAGGTATCTCTGCCCCAGCGTAGCATGCAGTTGCATCAGTTAAAACTTTCAGCGGAGGAGCAGTCTGTGTACAATGTGCTCTTTGCAAGATCCAGGTATGAATGTGGGTAGACATAGGCTATTTTGTGGTTTTGTTTCTTATTGGTATGGAAAATCAGAAAGAGAAATCCACTTCAGATGAGAAGAGCTTTGGGACAAATTCTTGTTAATTTTTTCCCTTTCTGACTATCTGTCAAGTATGTTTGAAAATACATTGCTTGTTCTGGTAATAGTTGAAACTGGTTCATTTCTTTTCTCCCATACGTTAATGCCTTGTATGAGCTTTGTATTCTAGCCTTACACTTAATCTCATTGATTTCAAGACTCCAAAGACTTGGAATTGCAACAGTAGTTCTTAAATGATGATGTGCCAGCACCTGTAAAGGAGAGAATTTATGTTCTTTGCCCTGTGATATTTATACAATTGGAAATTATGCTGGCCTATCCAGATGGCTTAATGCAAGCCAGCGTCACTTTGTGTTCTCCTAGGGTCTCTTTCAACAGTGTTGCTGTAAGGAGTCTTCCTTTTAAATATACATTTAAAGATGCCCTTTTGTTATGAAGAATGTTATGCCTTGGGCCCTGGCTCCTATTGTACTCAAGATATTCCAATGAAGCAGACTTGCTTCCTCTTATGTTTTCCAAAATGGATCTTGGTTTTGATCATATTCAGGTTAAACAAAACTGGGGTTTTTTGGTGATCATTTTGTGACTAAATGATTAATGAAACCTTTCTTACTTTAATGTGTCATTAGCTTGCTTGTTAAGCTCAGGTCCATCTTGCCTTTTTTCCTGCTGTAAATCCCAGAGTCTTTGTCTTGTTTTTCCAGGTCAACACTACAATCCTACCTAAAGAGACAAGAGCAGAAAAATGAAGGCAGAGAGTATGCTGGTGGTAACCCATTTGAGAAAGGTTTGAGCACACCCTCCCCTGAAAACATTTGCAGAAGTGACTCTTAAGTGTGCAGTTAAGGAGGGGGAGCAGACCTGGCCTCATGGGGCCAGGACTTAGAAATCTTTCTTTGAAAAATGCTCCCCTGATGTTACGAAGAATCCTACCATAGTATTCCAAAAGTCTGTTCTCACTGTTGTGGCGCTGGGCAAATCTCTTGACCTCCCTGGGTCTAAAATTCCCTTCTGAAATAAAGGTCTAATTGCTCAGAGACGAGATATTGGTATTAGTATAAGGTATGTGGTACTCTGATTTGTGGTGTTGTCTTTTTTCTTTTTCTTTCTCTCTCTTTTTTTTTTTTTTTTTTTTTTTGAGTGGGGTGCCTATGTTAAATCAGGTATTTGCTTGCCTGTTGGTTCTTGTGTCTTATTGATGAAGCTCTTGCTGGAGGTGGCTGGGCAGTGCTTGGAAATGCCTCCAGGAGCTCTTGACGTTTTGTCTTTCTTCCTTGGCAGTTGCACAAGAGTTTGGGGTCAGTCAAAAGGAATTTCTAGCAGGCTCCCAAAGCGCCTCCCAGGTCTCAAGTACTGTCCACGTCTTATCCATGCTGTTGAGGCTCCGTCAGTGCTGCTGTCATCTCTCCTTACTGAAAGTGGTAATTGCGTTGTATTGTGGTGGTGTGGGCTTTTCTGTGGGGATTTTTTAAAGTGTTTGCGTAAGTTAACAGACTTTGTAACACCCTTGCATCTCTTAGCTATGGGTGTATAAACTGAGCCATTTCTAGGACTGTGTAGTTTAGAGCCCGAGAGGTTTTAGATGGGCATACTTACTAAAGAGTTCCCCAGCATGACCTGTGTAGGCAGCTGTGTCTCTGGAAATACCTTTATTCAGATTAAAAAAAAAAAAGTAGTAGTAGAATTTTAATGGCAAAGAAGAAGTCTTGATCTTAATCTAGTCTTGAAAAGTGCATAAGTCCACAAGTGTAGCCTGTTTCAGAGGCTTGTGTGTTGGATAGCTCTGGAAGTGCCTTGACTGAAGTTGCCTTGCATAAAGTAGACTAATCTTTCAGAAGTTCTTTGCCTTGTCATATAAAGCGGCTGTAGAATAAGTCCAGATACTAGGTAACAGGCAGGGATTCATCTTCTAACATCTTTAATCCTGCAATTGTTAAATGCTGTGGGAGGGGCAATCTGAGGAGACTGGACCACAGAAAATGGCTGAGCTCATATGCTTTCCTTACGCTGCCCCTTCTTGGGGCAGAATAAGGGGCCAAAGGGGCTTTTGGTCTGACCCAGTAGTTCCGTCTTCAGATTGCATAGCTTCCTTCAAACCCACTGTCCAGAGCAGACATCACACAGACTGTGGATCAGTACTGAATTTGATCTCAGGCTTGACTGTGATCCTTTATTATATTGCTTTCTTTCCCACAGGCTCTGGACCAAGTTAACTTGAACAGTGAAGGCCTTTCCCTCTCCATTGAGGAACAACTTAGTGCTTTGACCCTCTCTGAGCTCCAGACTCCTGATTCCACGTCAACAGTCTACCTCAATGGCACAGCTTTTAAAACAGATATCTTTGAAATCAGCAGGGAGAGCACCAAGGTATTCTGGTTGTGGCTTTCTTACCTTCCTTGAGAAGCTTGGATTTCAGCACTTTGCCTTTTAAATTGTAATGAATTGTCACACCTTGGTAATAGCAGATCAGGCTAAGTTGGCAATTTAGATGAAATCAGGTGAGTAGATCAATAGTCTGCTGAATGCCTTCTGGGAAGGCTCCAACTTACCAGGTATTGATGGCTACTTGTAATAAAGCTGTGAGAATCTGACTACTGAAAAACTGTCAGTGAAAATCTTGAGCACTGGATTCACAGAAGTTTAGAAAAGTGTGTGTGAGAGCATGGTCCTTGTGAAGAGCTAGAAAAAAATGGGACAGGAGAGGTGGCAATAACTTGGCTTCTCACAGGAAGGCTGGAATCTATAAAACATGCTTCTGTGATTTGATTTCTTAGCCCTGTTTTCCATGGTGGGACTGTTCTTACTAGTAACTATTAAAATATCATGAAAGTCTGAGCACGGAAGAAATTCCAGTTGAAGAGTTATTTTGATCACTTCCTATGTTAAGGAAGAATAGCCAAGCATGAGCTGGGTTATGACAGCAAGTAGACTAACTTGGTTTTTTTTCTTCCCCTGCAGATAGCTCATCTCTTGGCTGAACTGAAAACTATTCAGAGTCATTCAGTGGCTCAGAAAAGGTTAGTAAGCATGTCCTTTTCTTTAGTCATAGTGATTGAGAGAAGCATGTCTTTTGACAGCAGCAGAAATAGTTTAAAAGAATTGAATACAAAACTCCTGGTATGGTAAAATGGTGGCAGTACTGCAGTAGTTGAAAGTGGATTTTGGGGGGGAAAAAAACCCCTAAGACAAAAGAGGGTAGTGTAAGATGTAGGTAAGTGCAAACATAAGGGGACGTGTGAGGAATCCCAGGCCTTGAGGCCCAAGAGGACTCTTCTTTTCTCCAAAACAAGAATTGGGAGTAATTTGGTTGTGCTGAGAAATACTTGTCCTCAGCTCTGCAACCCACCCACCACGCAAAAACAGTGGAGGAATAAAGTAGTGGTTAATACTAAACCTGTTTGAGATAAAAGAATGCATTGATCAGAGGACTGAATTGTTGCTGAAGTCCTGTAGCTCTCGCTGTGCAAGCTCTGTCTGTCTTTGCTCCATGCCAGACTGCAGTGTTACAGGGTTTTCTGCTTGGTTTTGTTCAACAATGTGGAATGTGCTTACAGATGTGTGGCTGCAAAGTAGTTACACCTGGGTTGTTATGTTGGGGGTGGGTTGGAAGGGGAAGTCCTGTTCTTGGGCAACTCCAGAGTTGCACCGTATGTAGAAAGCTTTTTTCCAAAATGTCTTCCAAAAAGCATTCCCACGATAAGAATGGGAACACCAACGTTACTTTTGTTCCCTACCAAAAAGCTATTGAACAAATTATTGCCTCCCAAACTGTTTGACTGAAAAAGTGTGGGGAGTGAGAGGCCCAGGGGAATCCAAATTTGGTGTTGCTATTGATTTTGTTTTCCAGAAAAAGCTCAGAATTGTGATTGGTAGGTGGCAATGCAAAATCCAAAAATAGAGGTGGAAGTTATATACTTAATTTGCCTGAAGTTTATTGGGTATTTGCCTTCCACAGCAGGTTCTACCACTACACCTACAGGTCAATCTGTTTCTGAATTGGGAAGGGACTTGGCTCCAGTTTGCAGTGGGGAAGAGGGCCTGAATCATTGTCTCACTGTCTCATTAGTGTGATGCTGCAATAACCATGCTGTTACAGTACACACAGAACTTGCTCTAAACTCCCTTTTCTCTCTCCAGTGTTGTTGTCTCTCAGTGGACAAGTATGTTGAAAGTTGTGGCTGTGCACCTCCAGCGACTAGGGCTGAAGTATGCAACAGTGGATGGATCTGTCAATCCTAAACAGAGAATGGATGTGGTAGAAGAGTTCAATAACAATCCCAAAGGGCCTCAGGTATGCAGTCAGGGCAGGGAAACAGTTACTAGTGCCACTAAGAGCTGCTGTGATAGCTGACTTCATCATTCCATTTACTGGCACTGCTTTCATTTGCACCTCTCGGTGCCAAGATCAGCAGGAAAAGAGGTAGCTGTAAAAACAAATGTACATCTTCTAATGGGCAGGAGCAGCTGCTAAAAAACTCCTTTTGATGTTAACCTTCTGTACTTGGGATCATCTGACTCCAAAGTTAGTTCAAAGGTTGTCCAGATCTTTGGTGTGTTCAAAAATGTTTTTACCACAGAGAGTAATGTGGAAGACGTGGGGCCAATTAGCTCTACTCAGAGAGTAGAGTTCTTGGTTGTTTCTAGCTCATGCTTCTGCATTGGAAGATGTTTCTTTCTGTATATCACCTGCTTGCCAAGGAGCCTGTAAGACTTTATTGCTGTTTTCCAACACATCAAATACTTTTTACCAGACTAATCTTTTTGAGAAGAGAGGTTGACAGTTGAATCGGTGAATGAGGCTAATATTAACAAAAGCGTATCTCACCCCAGTATAAAGATAGGAAGATTGGGATTGGGGCAAGAGAAGTCATAGGTTTGCACACATCCAAAATAAGGTGACCTCATGACTTCTTTCACACTTGAGTTGTTGGGATTTGGAGGGGAGGGTGTGTATGTGTGTTTAAGTACTGATGAACAACAGTGTGTTGGCTCTTCTTGAAAATAGCTTCTAGTCTGAAATTTTGGCCAAGGGAAGGAAGCTTGCCAGATGACTAAAGAGATCTGAATCCAAATTAATTGTTCATAGTGATTACACTTTCATTTGGACACTGACATTCCTGTGATTGAGGCAGGACAGGCTGTCTCATCTGAGGATGGATCTGTTGACTGGAAGGAGAGAATGTGGTGCATTAGCTTGTTTTCTTTGCTGGATTTCTTGAACAAGCTGCTGTCTACAAATCAGATGATTCTCCTTCTAGCTTTGAACTTAAACAAAGGAATATTTCTGCTGGCTATATGAATAGCTGACCCCTTAAACAAGATCAGGGTTTTAAGGTACCATGCCATGATATTTAGTAATAAATATGTATCGCAAGTGTCTCTGTCCTTAATTGAGTTCTTTTCCTGCTGTACAAGAAATCTTCCCTAAACTGACCATCTGCTATATCCCTGTTTCTCCCCAGCCACTTCATCTTTTTCTAAATACTAGGTTATGTGGAAACAAAGTGAAAGGAGTAGCAGGCCATTTCAGTCTAGTTGCCTGTGTTTAAGTGATCATTATTGCTAATTCAGAGTTGGTGCTAATTGGTCCCATTGTTGGCAACAGGCTGTCATCAGAGCGGCTGGTCATTTGAGTGGGACATGGAGAGGGTCTGAACTTTTCAGTCCTTTTTGTGGTCTGTAAATATGTATCAGGGTAACCTATGGAATGGTAGGCTGGCCTCTCTGAGCAATAACTTCCATGTCCAGGCTTCTGTGCCTCATCAAGTAACATCTGGCAAGCTCCCAAATACATAATAAATACACACATGTAATCTAAATATGAGAAACAGATCCTTTGGTTCAAATTAATATGTGGAGTATATGAAGCATTAATTTTCTGGAAACAGGCTCCTTAACTCTCGTTTGGCTTTTGAAGGTAATGTTGGTCTCGTTGCTGGCTGGAGGCATTGGCCTGAACTTGACTGGAGGAAACCACCTCTTTCTCCTTGACATGCACTGGTAAAGAGAAATAAAAGTTCCATCTTGGAGGATATATGTAGGGCATGCTGCTTGCTTTCTCACCATGTGTATTGTAATGTCTGATACAACTGGGTTAGGAGGAAAGTGTTTACCTGAGAGTACGGGCTAGTGATTAGCTGTGGAAAAGAGTTTTTACTACAGCCTTCTTCTGAGATGCTCTTGATTTGTCAATCCAGTGCTCACCACCGTGAAATACAGTTCTGTAGGGGTTAAAAAAAAAAACAGAGGAGGATAACAGCAATCCAAAGAAGCAAGTACGAAGTCTCTACCACAAAAGGATACTGGGGACTTGGCAGTCCCTGGCTTAATTTCTCGCAGTAATGAAAATGGTACAGTAATGCCTACAGAGAATTTGTCTTGAAACATCAATTTTGTTGAACATAGTCAGTAATCGGGCATAGGTAGTGTAACTTGGGCTTTTATAGGGCTATGAAAATAGTGCATACGAGCTCCTAATATTTATGTTGTCTCTCATCAAAGTCAGAATCACAATTTTTTTTAACTGAATGTTGCTCATGGAAGCGTACAAAACAAACTAGGGGTTTGTCCTTCGGTACAAACCCAGCTGCTGAGTAGCAGCATTAAGGAGATGTTTCTACAATACAGAAGTTATGCCAACAAGTATTCCCTGTAATCATGTGTCAAACGCAACCATTTCTTAGGTAAATATTCTTGAGGGAAGGCCTCTTTCAGTGGAGTTTGCCTTCCTGCTTCACTCTCCTCTTCCCTCACCAGCTACTCAGCTTTCTCTGAATACTATTGGCCTGAAATATGGGGCTACATGGAACAGTGGTCTAATTCATACAGCTGACTTTGTGTGGAGTTGTTGCATACTTCTTCCAAGGCCAAAGGGAAATACAGTCAGGGTGAATACTGGCAATCAGGCTAGTAAACCTATGGTAACTGGGGAGCAGTTTTTGTTCTACAGAGGAAGAAAACAGGATGCTCTGGAGGCAGGCAAATGAGGCAAGCACAGAGGCTTTGATATTTCAATTACTCCTCAACATAAACCCTTAAGTTTTTTTTTTTTGTTGTTTTGTTTTTTTACCTTGCAGGAATCCTGCTCTCGAGGACCAGGCATGTGACCGCATTTACCGAGTGGGGCAGCAGAAGGATGTTGTGATACACAGGTTAGGATTTTCCTTTGCAATAAATGAGGCTGTTGCTGCTCATGTACTGCCTGGCTTTATTTGGTGAGACAAGGCCTTGGTTTGAGGCTTGTTTCTTTACTTAAAGCTAGGCGCAAGGTCTGACAGTGGGATTGGGGTTTGGGCACCGAGATAGAGACCACATGAAAATGTTTCTATGTGGCATTTGCCTGCACGTTGCTGTCCTGATAGCTAGCAGTGTTTTATTGTTTTTTCAACCTGTGGTTTAGTGGGAATGTCCTGTTCATTCCTGAGAACAATTCAGGCACCAAACCATTTCTGTTCTCTTATTGAGTGGGGATTTTTCGCCGTGTTCCTGAAGCCTGGACCTTTTTAATGTCACTAACATAAACATATAGAGCTCCTCTAAGAAGTGGCAACGTTGGCTTTTAGAAAAAGCATCTGTAATTGTAAGTACTAAAAGGCTAGCCTAGTTATTGTAAATGCACAGCAAATTCAAAGAAACTGGAATCTAAAATACTGTTTTGCATACGATGCTTTTAGTGTAATAGGTGTCATCAGTTATCAAACAATCATTACAGGATTTTGTCACAGAATTACTGTTGCTTCAGATGACCAAAGTTGAGGCCTAAAGTGCATCAGACTTTTATTTGAAATGTTACAGTATCTGGATGTGAGAACAGCTGTTTTCTGTGCACAGGTGTATTTTGTCAGTCGCATAATAGGCTGTTAATCTTCAAGTGAGACAAGTCTTTGTAAATTTACTGGGGAAGTAAACACACTGGGAAGTGCTGACACCTTTTCCTAGCAGCTGAGATGATGTGGCTTTCTTTGGTTTAGGTTTGTCTGTGAAGGAACGGTAGAAGAAAAGATCGTACAACTCCAGAGGAGGAAGAAAGTTCTCGCCCAGCAGGTGCTGTCAGGCAAAGGGGAGACCTTCACTAAGCTCACTCTGGCTGACCTCAAAATTCTCTTTGGCATCTAATTGTCCTTTACAATACACAACGGAAAGTGTATTTTATACCTACAAGTAACTGTGCAGACTTCAACAAAGGATTGCTGTTTTAAGGTGGTCATTTATTTTGCACAAATAACTACATTTTTGTAACTGTTCCAGGAAGAGAAGTTATCAACTTGAGGAATTTGTTTTAATACTGAAATTAAATCATTTATCCAAAGGTTAATAAAGTTATAAATTAAGCTATTGTTTTAAAACACTTTTGAGTAAACATTAAAAACAAACATTTGCTTGTTTCTCGGTTTCCGATGTATGGTTTTTTAGTTAGAAAACTTTCCTCTTCAGGACAGGAGAAGCACAGGCATAAGTGAAACAAGAACAAGAGAAACAAGCGTGAGGTAGGAAAGTTCTGAGGTTGGGTGTGCATGAAGGAAGCAAAAAATTTTGAGCACGATGCTTTAAGACGACTATATAAACTTTGTAATGTGTAAGTAACAAAATTAAGGAAGGACTTGGAGGAATACTTAATTTTCTCTCTTGTTCTTTAGGAGGACTTTTTATATCTAAGTGAAGAAGCACTTCTCTACCCTGCTGAAAATATTTATTCAAGCAAGGAAGTAGACTTGTTATGTTCCTATGAAACAGAACCTGAATTCCTGATTGTTGTGGGTTTGGTTTTTTTCCTTCTGAGTATTCAATAGTGTCAGGTTTCCTTGGTGCAAACCTTTTAATGTATAGACTGTATTTCCTGAGAAGATGCTCCCATTTTTTAATAGTAGATGAGTTGCAAGTCCTTGATTAATGGTTTGTATTCTCTCTTCTATCAGAAGTGTATGTGCAGGTGAGTGAAATTTCTAGGCAAGTTTTTGGTTTTTTTTTTATTGGTAGTGTATCTTCCCTGCTTCCATCTCCCTCTGCTGTGTCCCTGGCCATATCCACTGCATGTTCTGGTTTTCTACTGATTATGCTGTTTCTCTGGGATTTGGCACAGTTCCCACAAGTTCCATACCAAATGAGGGCCTTTGAAGATTTAATTTCTAATGCTAAGTGGTAGAGCATGACAAGTTAGAGTACTGATAAGAATCTAGATGTTGGTTCCTGTATGGTCATTCCCATGGAATAAGACAAGAGCATGTGGTAGCCTTTGGAGTGAAGGAGAGATCTATTTGTAGATCAGTGGTTCCTCTTAGTACAACAGTGTCCTGGTGGAGTACGATGTGGCTGTGTTAGTTGTTTCTCTTACATGCCTTGACATGATGTGCAAGTGAAGCTGAGGGATTATTCCCATTTATCGCACAGATACAGCGGCTAGGGGGCACAAAAATAGTAATTTGGTTTTTTTGTGTGCATATGTCCATAAATTCAACCATGGTGGAAGAGTCTTGAGCAGCTCTCAGAACCAAGGAAGGCTATGCAACTTGGGCAATTTAACCAACGTAGCACACTGCTCATTTGCCTTGCTACACTGGTTTTCTGGAAAACATATTGGAACATCTTTTCAGTTCCACAAAACAGGAAGCCATGGACTAACTTTCCAAAATTACTTTATTTTGGGTTGGACGTTTACATGAGCAGAACTTGGGTTATAGTTTCTTCTCTGGAGTTCATGTGCACTCTAGTCTGAGCTCCTCTCCCTTTCCTTGGAGCTCCTGTTCGCCCAGCAGGTTTCTTTCTTTAAGGCATATGAATGTAACTGTGGTCTCAATGCAGTGTAACTATTAGGTGTATCAGATATTGCCATGGGGATTAACTGCTTTTTCTATTTGTATGAAGTTCTCTCCAGGAAAGGGCTTCAGCCTTTCTTAGGAAACCCAGATAACCAAATGGGATATGAAGTGACATTCAGCTTAGTTCAGAGAAATTCTCAAGCTGAAGGTCTAGCACATACCTCTTAGATACCATTTGCTGAAACAGCAAATTAATGCAGCTAAGAGAAGTGAATGAAGAATGTGTCAAATTAAGGTCAAATTTTTAAGGGAATTGGGGGGGGGGGTGTGGTTTGACTTTGGTTTGCAGGATTATCTTCAGAACTGACTGAAAGTGTATCTTAAAATACTGCTACTAAACGTTAGCAGGTAACTAACTAACCAGGTATTTGCATCTGACTGCAACCCAAAATGTTAGGGCCTTGTTTCTTTACAGAAAAGAAACTTCGCTGTAACACTTGATGTTAAGACGAGCGGGGCTTCTTTTTCCACTCCTTTGTCAAAAAGCAGCCTCCCTTCGCCTCTGTCCCGAAACCTGCTTCTGCGGCCTCGACGGCGCTCGGCGCCGTTTATGAACGGCGGGGCCTGGGGGCAGCGCCAGTGCCGGAGGCTGCCGGGGG